CTCATTTTCGGAGACCAGCTGTCCCTGCTCAATGACGGCTCCTCTTTTTTGTCTGAATGTGACATTGAGTATATAACCGCTGCCGGGGTGGGGCTCAAATTATGGTGGTGAGTTTTCTGATTAATAAATGCTCTCCAGGATTTGCATACAGTTTTTTGCCTCAATGAATAACTTGTCAACTTTTATCGACGATGTTTAGCACTGTCTGATGCGAGAGTCGGAAAACGAGGGCGCAGCAGTGCCGTCAGTAGTGGACGCGAACAAGAGGCAGCGTATGCGTCGGGGCGGCACTCTCATGGCGGCAATATTTGCTGGCGAGGCCGACGGTGCTTCCTCCGATCTCCGAACCTCGTTACAACTAAATCAAAAGCTCCAGTCGGTACTCGAGGACACGCTTTACAAGAATCTCACCCTCAAGGTAATCGCATAACCATCGACTCCATTGGGTCAACTCTGCTGCCATACCTCTGTGACTTCTTGTCCCATCGAACGTAATCTTTCGAGCAGTCGGACACGCCTTTCACTCTATATAACAATGTTTACGGAAAATGACCATTGGGGTAGGCTAAGCATTTAGGGTAAAGAATTCAACCACGTCCCCTCCCCCAAATGACACTAAGTGAAAACAGCAAGTTGGTTCTAATCTGCTTATTTTTCTTTAGGAAAATGTCGACACCCTTGCCGACGAAGTCGCCAGACTTAAACGGGCCAACAAGGAGCTGAAGAGCCTAGTCGCAACCCAGTCGGATTCGTCAACAGTCGATCCCCACCGATGATCATGGTGTTGACCCCAGGCTCGAATTCCCAAGCTGTGATAAATTCATGAACACCTTTTAACCGATCTCGTTGCCTGTGATAATTTATTTCCATTCCATACTAGGTGACGCTATGCATGTACTACCATTTGGAGTCGGTAAGAGAACCAAACCCAGGACTTCATTAAAAAAACTTCGATAGAAGCAAACACTTCAATGAAAAACTAAGATAGAATAAGGATGCGTGACCCTTATTCTTCCTCACAGCACGTCAATGCTTGGTAACAAACAGGAGCCTAGTA